TAAATTCACTAGTGAGGAGTACAGTAAAGGGTGATCCATATAATTAGAGATTAAAATAATAAAATTAGGTAAGTTACCTAAGAGTATTAAAATAAAGAATTTTCCTAATACAAATAAAGTCAAAACTCACAATAAAACGTAAGAATACATAAAATATTAACTTTTCCTAATACAAGACACCTGAGCAGTATATTATTATATATAAATTTAATTACAAAAATTTTAGCTAAAAATTTATAGTAATTTTTTGTAAAAAAAAAAAAAAAAAAAAAAAAAAGAAAAAACTTGTAGCTAAATGTTAATTATTATTTACAAATTATAATTTGTAGCTAAAATTTTGACACTAAATAATTAAAATTAGAATTTTAATTGAAAAAATTATAAAATTTAGCTACAAAATCTTAACATATAGCTACAAAAGTGCTTTGTAGATAAATCCAAGTTTTTTCAGTGTGTAATGACTACAGCGTTATGAAAAAGAATTAATATGAAGTTTGCAATGATTAGAGCAATGTCAGACACAGAAACAAACGTGTTTAAAAAGTGAACGAAGAAACATAAAAATTACATATTAAATAATTAGTAGTTCACTAAATTTATGATCGGATTATTATGAAACAAAATTCCTAGTAAAAAAATATATAAACTCATCAAAATGAATTCATTATTATAATGATTTTATCGTTACGAAACCAAATGAATATAAAAAGAATGCGAAAAGTCCATAACAATGAACACACAAGAATACATGAATTCACAAAAAGCAGCTATAATTACATGCAACACTTGGAAAATTATGGTGAGAAGAAAGATGCAAATTACTTTGTCCATAATATAAATTAGGACAGCACCACATGATTAACGTTATTGATTATTTTTTCTTTGTTTGGTCCCCTGCAAGTTTCACACTCTTACGTACCTAATAATATATTCGTAGGTGCGTTTGACTCAAAAGTAAAGGAACAATTATTTTCAATGGCGCCTGGTGAGAATTATTATTGTCGCAGTATTGTTTAATCCTTTTCTATAAAAAACAGAGACAATTTAACCGTTGAAAGAGGAGATCTGATCCACAAAATGTAATTATTAGATTGAGAGGATCATCCCTTGAATTAAAAATTGAACTCGTGTTTGATTGTCACAGTATTGTTTAATCCTTTTCTATAAAAAAACAGAGACAATTTAGCCGTTGAAATAGGAGATCTGATCCACAAAATATAATTATTAGATTGAGAGGATCATCCCTTGAATTAAAAATTGAACTCGTGTTTGACGCAAATCCAGTACTTATCGAAATGTATTGCCCGCGGATCATATAATATCCCGTTATGTTTGAGGTTTATCGCAAGTTACTCCTCGGTGCTTCTAAGGAAACTGGCTTGGTAACATGCTTCGCATAAGTTAAGTGAAAAATAACAATAAATATAAGAAAATAAAAGTAAGAAGAGAAGATAAAAGAGATATAATATGGTTCAATAATATACCTACATTTATGAACTAAAAAAGAGAGAATGAATTCACTATAATAATAAAATTTTCTAATACAAATAATGTCAAAAATAGCAATAAGACATAATACATGAAATAGTAACAATAAGAGAGAAGAGGGCACTGGGCGCTGAGATGTCAATCGTCAAGAAGAGAGAATTGGGCGCGCGGCTTAGGATTAGTGACTCTTTAGAGTATAAAACTCTGATACCATAACAATAACTAAATAAGAAAATAAAAACAAGAAGAGAATATAAAAAAGATTTAACGTGGTTCGGCAATGTGCCTACATTCGTGGACTAAAAAACAGAGAATAAATTCACTAGTGAGGAATATAATGAAGGGTGCTCCATATAATTAGTGATTACAAGCATAAAATTAGGTAAGTTACCGAAGAGTATTAAAATAAAGAAATTTCCTAATACAATAAAGTCAAAACTGACAATAAAAGGTAAGAATACATAAAATATTAACTTTTCCTAATACAAGACACCTGAGCAGTATATTATTATATATAAATTTAAGCATCTTGTGTTTATTTTAAATTAATTTTATACATTCTTAATTGAAAAGAACTTTTGGTTTTAAACAACTGGCAAAAAAGATTGCTTCTTCCATATAGTTATGCATTTGGAAAAAGAAATATTTAGTGTAAGAAAATTAGAGAGAAAATTACTTAGGTGTATATATGAAAATTAGTATTTAAGAGAGTTGCAACAAATAGATGTTTAAGTAAGGATATTGATTATAAGTGCGACATTTAAATGCCTGCAAGAAAACATATTTAAATTGGAGCATATGTGGGGGAGGATGATTATTTTGATGTGAGGGAAAAAAATGATACAAAGAAGTACATTGAAAAAAAAAAAGAAAAAAAAAAAAAAACAATAGAGTAGCCTTTGTTAAAAGAAAAAAAACGCATTTGAAAAAAAAATTAATAGATGCAAAATAAGAAAAAAAAAAAACAACTCGACCCTTGTGTATCCTTATCACTAGAATATTGGGCAAGGATGGGGTGTAAGGATGGTAATATTTCTCTACGAGGACGTGCTCCGCTCCAAACGGGGTGAGGATGTAGGACAATTATTAAGGATGAGGATGAGGATGGGGACAAAATCTAATCCCTTATTCATGGTAAGGTGGGACCGGAGGAAGTACTCCATACTTCACCTCCGCCTTAATATAAATATGTAATAATGTTGTGTCAGGATCCAAGTTTTTTGAACTATGATGCTTGAAAACAAATAGCGTGCAACCATGCAATGAAGATTGAAGTTATTAGGAATAGAGAAGGAAAGATAATTTACGTTTATGTTTTGATGTTTTAAACTTTTATCACTTATACGTTAGTTATTACTTTTGGATTCAGTTTACAATATGTAAAGAATTGGTTTTTTTATGAAACCTTTGATTTTGGTTTAAATTTATAATGAAAAAACTCTATTTTTATTTTAAATTTCTATAATTTTGAAACGCATAGTGCTGTATAATGGAGAATTAGGCAGGTATTAAGGGATTCCCGACTCCGACCCCGTCCCTCCTTAAGCGGGGATAGAGATGGCTATAGGGATAGTTTAAGGGCCGGAGATGGGAATGGGAAATCATCCTCTACCCCCACCCAGTCCCTATCATGCCTATTAGGGTAATGCGCTCATTATTGGTAAGTAGAGTTTGCCCCTAAGATCTTCAAAATGACATTTTTGTCAGCGTCTGAGAAGCACTTTTTGTCCTCCCCAAACTTTTATTTATTAAAATCAAAATCAAAACAAAGGCAAAGAAAGAAAAAGAAGGCGGGAGGGATAGTAATGCAAGGTAGAGGGGACAAAATAGGGTTTCACTCCTTTTATACATGATATGTATAAACATCCTAATAAAAATGTTTATGTTAACCGAATATTACATATGTATAGAGAAGTAAAACATGTATGAATAAAATTAATTTTAACTCGTAAATTAGTAGTTGAGAGGGCTAGGGAAAAGATGTTTAAATAGTAAACATATTTAAGAAACATTATCTATACCCTTTATAAAAAAGGAAAATAGGTATTTACAAAAAAAAAAAAAATTATATTTAGAAAGGAAAATTTTCATTTTGGTACCTTGTGTTATGTAGAAATATACATCCGGTACCTTTTGTTTTTGATAATTTCATGCAAGTAGCTCAATGTTTTAAAAAACAGTTTTTTGGAACCCAAGGGTAATTTTATAAGATGTGAAATGTCATTTATACCCTTTATTTAATCTATTCAGATTTTTTTTAAAAAGCGTATTAAAAATATTTAAAAAACCATAAAATAAAATAAAAACTAAAACTCTATAACTTTTGATATCTTTAAAGTATGTTTTAGAATATGTTTAAAAAGTTTTAGTTTCTAATTACTTAATGATAAGGATAAATTTGACATTTCACATCCTAAAAAATGGCTTGGGGTACCAAAAGGCTATTTTCTAAAATGCCGGGGTACTTGCATGAAATTAACAAAAACACAGGGTACTAAACGCATATTTTGATATAACACAAAGTACCAAATAAAATTTTCCTAGTTAAAAAGGTAAAGGTTATGTCCATGAAAAACTGTTACAAAGGAGATATGTTTGAGAAGAAAAAATGTTTTAATTAATCATGGTCCAATGAGGAAAAAAATCATTTATGATATTTTTTAAAAAAAATAAGGATCAGACGAAAAAAATTAAGTCATTTGAAAAATTATTTTAGTATGAGTGAGAGAAGGAAAAAAAATATTTTACACAAGCACATTGGAAAAGGATTATACCTCAAGGGAAAAAAAAAAAGAATTATACCATTTAGTGATTGTTAGTAAGAAGGAAAAAAAGTAAGGATACATTTGAAATAAATTATTCTCATAAGGGCAAAGCAAGAAAAAAAATAGCTCAAATAAGCACATTGTATTAACTAAATTGTAGGAGACCTTTTGACCAAAAAAAAAAAGGAACAAAATGGATAAAAAAAACAAATAGAGAAAGAAAAAGAAAAATTTAGAAAAAGTAAAACAAAAATAAAAAGAAAGGAAAAAGTAAAAGAAGCTAGAAAGGAAAGAAAGGAAGAGGAAACTCGCCTGGTGGCAGCATGTGGAAGTGAAGAGTAAAGTAATTTTGTCTCTTTTTTGTATGTGTAAATGTATAGGTATAGATGTATAAATGTATTGATATGGATAGTTATAGATGTATACGTGTATGGATTCTCGAAGAACACAATTTTAAAAAGTACAGCAAGAATTAGATGGAAGAGCAAATGAGAATTGTTAATTGTCATTATTTTTCTATTGCTAAAAATTTGAAATTATGCTTACGGTGTCAAGACAAGACAATCTACCAATTATTATATTGGAAGTATCTTTGATTGAATAAGAAATTAAAATTGTGATGAAACTCAAAGTTCAAAATATTAATATGGTTATAATTGAGGGGCTAACAGCGCCAATAATCCTTTATAAATTGAGATCCACAAGTTTGGAATTTACATCAATTAAAGATTAGCTGAAAGGAAAAATGTCCAAAAGTGATGATAATGAAATGATGAGCTCTAGTGAGCTGCTTCAAGCCTTTTCCCTTTTGAGGAGTTGCTCAATAAGTCACATAAAGTCCATGTCACTGAAGTGCGCTATCGAATTAGGCATCCCATATATCATCCACAACCATGGCCAAAGGGCCATTACTTTCTCAAAACTCATTGAATCACTTCCTGTACACCCTTCCAAAACTCATTGCATTTACCGTATTATGCGGCTCCTCGTCCACTCCGGTTTCTTTGCAACCCAAAAACCCGATCAAGAAGAAGAAGAAGAAGCATACACTCTCACAAACGCTTCCCGCCTTCTCTTAACTGACACACCCGTGAATATGGAATCGTATTTCCTTCTCCCCCTTCTTCCTCAGATGATCGGCCCATGGCAATCCCTGAGCACTTGGTTACAGAGCAACGATCACACTCTATTCAAGACGGTGTACGGGGGGACTATTTGGGATCAACTAGCTGATGATCCAGAACTTAATTACAGGTTTAATGAGGCGATGGCTAGTGACTCCCGGCTTATTTCCAAGGTCATCCTAGACTCGGAATATATAAGAGTGTTCGAGGGTTTGAAGTGCTTGGTCGATGTGGGAGGCGGCTCTGGAACTTTGGCTAAAGCCATAGCCAACACTTTCCCACACATGAAATGCACAGTGTTTGATCTCCCACATGTTGTTGCTAATGTGCAGGGTACAACTGACAACTTGAGTTTTATTGGAGGAAACATGTTTTCTGACCCAATACCTCCTGCAGATGCAATTTTACTCAAGGTATATGCATATATTACTTAATTCTGTATTGTAAAAGTTTTTGCTTTGCATTAATCTAGATTATTTACGTTAATTATAATACGATAATTGTCTAATATGATTGAATTAAAATGAGAATTTAGATGATTATGCATAACTGGAATGATGAAGATGGTAGCAGAATATTGAAGAGATGCAGAGAAGCGATTTTGAGCAATGGTAACGGAGGAAAAGTTATTGTCATCGACACAGTGATTGGCAATGAAAAGACACAGGATTTAACTGAAACAAAACTCTGCAATGATGTGATAATGATGACCCTCACTGGCAAAGAGCGTAGTTTAATGCAATGGGAGAAGCTCATCTTGACTGCTCAATTCAGTCACTATAAAATTACTCCAATATTTGGATCTGTGAACTCTATCATTGAGGTTTACCCTTAAAACTCCTTTTAGTGCAATACACTGATCTAAGATATTTTTGTATGCTATATTAATATTGTTGGGATTAGACTATTTTAAAGCAATTTATGTATGACATTTTCAGTTTGATGAATTAAATAAATTGATGTTTTTGCTTATTGCGTATTTATTTATTTGATTATGGTAGTCATTTATAAGGTTTTCATAATCAAAAACATGTTTGCAACCATAATAAAAATTGGGCATGTAATTATGATAGTTGTATTAAAGGTCACAACTAAGTGGACGTTTGGTTGATCGATTCAGAATTATGATTCAGAATCATTTTCGATTTACGTGTGTTTTTTGTGAGAGAAAATACTATAGCGAACCATAAACCATGATTCGAATCATGACATGAATCTAACAACCAAATGCTAAATATATTAATACTCTCAACCTTATGTTTACTAAAAAAAATAAAAACATATATAGATGCCTGGATTTTACAATTCTTAAATTAAGTGAAAATTTATTAAACAATAGCCTCTAAAATTTGGAAATGTGGATATCTGTAAAGTGATTAATCAATATAACAATATTGGAATTTTCTAGCTCCTTTAGGAAAATAGTTGCACCTTAAGTTGTCAAATTAGTAATTCGCTTAATCTTTAACCAAAGTATTCTTTTTAGTGAGTCAACATACTGAATTACGCTATGATAATTAATAAAGCGATTAACAGGCTTAAGATCGAAAATGCAATTTAACAAGGTGAGCGAACATACCAAATTAACTATAAAAACTATACAAATGGGTAGAACATATGATTAGTATCTCATGGGTTACACTCTATGTGTTCTAAATTTGTGTTTTCCTATAAACTGTTTATCCTATCTAGAGTGCAATTTCATGTCTTTAATACAGTGACTATGAAGTTAATAACTTAATATGTAATTCATTGCATCAAAGTGATGATACTAGATTATATTAAATATTGGAAGCAAAATAAAATAAACCCGTAAGAGTCTTACGGTAGGTTAATCTTGTAATATTTTTTTCCTCTTGCTCCAATTAATGGACTTAATTTATAAGAAAGTTATGTATTTTGACACGGGATCAAACTCATAAAGTTATTCCCCAAATGTGTAGCATGTGGCTCAACTAGTATATACTAAAGGAGAATATGTTTCTCCATTTTTCAGATTCTCCTCTTAACACCCAACTTTTTGAGCCACTAAGTTTAGTATAAGAATTGAAATCATAAGTTTAATTTTTGAGTTAACTTAAGGAGGATCATAGATAGCATAAGATTAATTAGTTTAGATGTTTGTCTTATAAGGCTATACTATTTGTTAGAATGTATTGTTAATATTATTAGTATTAGTATTATTATTATTGTTATTATATTATTATTATTATTATTATTATTATTATTAAGTTTGAGTGGTATTAGTATGTAAGTAAATATATATTACTTTATTTGGTAATTATTATTGTTATTTTAATTATATATTTAGATTTTTATAGAGAGGAGAAATCGACTTGCCTATGTCGGCTACTAAATTAGGGTATCAATTACCTTATTCCTCATCTGATTAATGAGAGAAACCCATTACCTTATTCCTTAGTCTTTCTCTCGTCCATACTCAGCCAACTACCCATCTTTCATTATTCCATTTTTATTTCTCCACCTCAACCTCTGTTTACCTCCAACCTGGAAATATGCATATATAAATATATATTTATATTCCTCCACTACACAACAAAGGTAATAATTCCAATAGTTATGTTGTACGATTACGTTATTCATGTTTTAGTTTTAAGTTGATATGCTTATAGTCAGTTTACAAAGTTTATAGTTGAAGTTATAAATATAATATATATATATATAGTGTGTGTATGTGTGTGTGTGTGTGTGTGTGTGTATTAGATTTGTGTATTTATTAGTTAGAGTTTGATAATAGATTCGGGAGTAATTATTTTGATATGAAAGTTTGGGATTTATACAGATACAATTATATGGGATGATTGTGTTTAAGTATTCAATTAGAATTAGGTTAATATGAATAACTTGAAAAGTACTCATATGGAGATTAAGTTATTTAGGTCATCTATTATCTCTTCAAGTAGTAGCCACTCTATGATTTATATTATGTGTATTGATAGCAAGTCATTGACTTTTTAAGTAAATATACACCGCCATACGAGATAAGTAGACTTTCCACTGCATCATTTGAATAATAGTATATTTTCAGTTTATATATGTTATTATTGAACGGTTTTTGTGAAATTTTGAAAGTGTTTTCAAAGTATGATGTAAAATCTTGTGTTTATTATGAACTGAGATTTGAGAATGACCGAATCCTTGAGGAGTAAGAGATTTTAAGATATGAGCACATGAAAGAGGTTTTAATAACACAAAATTAACGTTATACAAGAGGGCTCTAAAGAATGGTCCAAGATCCCATGACGAGTTTAAGGATTCTAAGAGTTGGTGATTCTAAGAATTTTGTTCGAGAGTTGTTTCTATGATAGACATTATTTTTCTATTAAACAGCATGATTTGATTTTTAGTTAATGTTTCTTTTAAGCTGGCGGAGTTTTTAGTTACTAGTTTGGGAAGGGTGTTACATTCTTCTCCACTAGCGAAACGTTTCATTAGTGGAGTTTATTTTTTTTAAAAAGCTTTCCACCTCTTTTTATGTTTTACTTCATTTTTTTCTCTTTTCCTTCTATGTTTATCACTCTTTTCTCATTTTTATCTTTTTTGCCCTATTATAAATTTCTCTTTTTTTTTCCTTTCTTTTCAAATTGACCCTCATAAATTTATTTTTCTCTCTTATTCTTTGTGAAAATAATTTCTTTTTATGCATATCCCTGATCCTATTTTTTTAAACACTGTTCCCTACTGACGAAATGTTTCGTCCTAGGCCTTTTTTTTTTCCTTTTGTTTTCGTTTTTCTTGTCCTTCCTTCTTCTTTATTACCTCATTCGGTCTTCATTTTTGTTTTCTCTCCCTTTTTATTCCTTTTGTTTGTTGCTTCCTCTAATCTTTACTACATTGTTAAAGGAGAAAAATGTTATTCTACAGTTTAATCTTTTCGCGACGTCTTTTACTTTTACTTTTATTAAAATAATTTATTTTCTATTTATCTTTAAAATTTTTTGTTTGCTTTTTTTTTTTTTGGCCAAGTGCTACTCTACAGTTTAACCTTTTCACTAAGGGATCATGTTTGTGTTAATTCATTTATTAATCATATCAAAAAATATCAACTTAAATACAACCTATTTATTAAACGTGTCAAAAATATCAACCTAAACACAATTCATTTATTAATCATGTCAACCCGTATAACTCTTTTAAATTAATATATTAAATAAATAACTAATATAACAATGACTTATTTAACACGGTCAAGACAGGTTTAACATGTGTATTGGTCAATTTATCTTTTCTTTTAAGAAAAATAAATGAATTTTACCTACAAATATTAAAATTCACATTATTTGTATTTAATATGTCATATAAACTTTCATGTTATATCACATATCATTAGATTTCAGATGACACATATAGTTAATCGTGTCAATTCGTCACTTCGTGTTAGAAGATCAACCCTAACACAACTCATTTATTAATCGTATTAATCGTGTCAACCCGATTATGACCCCAACCCATTTATAGTAAACATAAACCCGCTAACTTCGTGCAGATTTTGAGTCGTATAGTCGTGTCGCTATCCGGATTGCCAACCCTACTTTTCACGGTGTATTTCAATTTTGTTTTTCTCACTTTGCTTTTATTAAAACAATTTTTTTAATCAAAAACTGCATTCAAGACGTAATTTGTCGCCACAAAGTGGGTAATCATTATCATCGTACGGTGGGTTGTCATTGTCCTCCTGTTGGGTTGAGGTCATCAACGACAAACAATAGGCCCGTTTACTTCGCTGATTCGAGTTAATATGTGATTTTATGTGAGAGATTTTTATTATAGTAAAAAAGTTAGATATGACTGTTTCTGAGAGCTTTTTACTATAGCGAAACTCGAATCGGTGAAATAAATGGAACCAATGTCTCAGACAGTTTTTGAGATTATTTAGGCTGCTTCGAAGATTAGGTGGTAATGAGTTGATATCATTTAATATTGAGCATTTTTAAATGGCTGTTTACAATTTAAATTTCATTAAAATTATTTTTTAGAATAACTATTTTTACAAATATTTGATTAAAATTAAAATTTGTTCAATATATAATTTCTCGTAAGAAATATCATAATTTAAATGCAATGAGATTTTATAATTGATTTTTTTTATTATAGTCAAAGAATATGTAATAATCATATTAATATTTTTTAATAATTTTTTTTTTTTACATTTTAAGGATTCACAAATCCCCCAATTAATAGTGTGCCCCCTAATAGCATACCACGTCAGTAAATTCGTGAGACATATAAACAAAAATAGATGGAGAGAACACTTTAAACAGGTTTTTTTTATATATCAGGTAGTGTTTTTGAACGATTTTAAAAAAATTAAAGACACTTTTAAAAAGAGTACACCCTTTAAAAGACATTTATAAAAATAATCCTAAATAAATTTTCTCAAATGTCTATCTAAACATTATTTCTTAATAAATATTTTTCTTCAAATATAACCCTAATAAATATGTTTATTTAATTGCCTCGCTGGTATAATTTCTTCTTCTTAAAAGTCTCCCAATCAACACAGTAATTGACAATGAAAAGAAAGAGGAGTCAACGGATTAAAACAATACAATGACATGATAATGATGGCCCTCCCTGGCTATGGGCGTAGTCTAATGGCATGGGAGAAGCTCATCTTGGCTGCTCAATTCAATCACTACGGGTGCGTTTAGAATTGATTTCAAAATGATTTTATTTTTTATATGAAAATGGAAATAAAAACGTTTTCATTTTTATTTTAGAATTATTTCTGAAAATGCGTTTGGTAGTTTTATTCAGAGATTGATTTCAGTTTTTTAAAAAAAAAAACTAAAACTGCGTTTGGTGATTAAAATTTTGAAAACCGAAAATGCATTTAATAGTATTTTAAATAATATATTAAATACTTTTTATTGCTCATTGCTCACTAGTATCCAACAAACAAAAAATCATTTTGCTTTGGACGGTGGCTGAAAACATTTTGCAGAGAAAACATTTTACAGAGCCAGATTTCCCATATCTCTGAAGGATCAAATGAGGGGCAATCTCTCCTCTTCTCTCTCTATCTCGACAAAATCTCTTTATTCCCTCTATATCTCTCCATTCACCCCCTTTCCCTCTCCCGTCAGCACAACCTCCTCTTTCTCCTCGACCTAAATCCGGCGAGCCAACTCCGCTGTCACCAGATCCGGCAAGCCAACTCCGCAACGCCTAAATCCGACGAGCCAAGCTTCGCCACTCCCAGATCCCGACGAGCCCAGCTCTGCCACGTCTAGATCCTGAAGAGCCCAGGCCCTAATCATGTCGCAATTGCGCCAAATCCAATCGGAATTTCGGATTTAGTCGCATCAAGAGAGAGTTTTCTTGAAGATTTACCATTTTCATTTGTTTGGTTTTGTTGATCTTGATCTGTTGATTAATTTCCCGTTTGATCTTGATATGTTTGGTTTTGATGATCTGGTTACCTAAATTAATGTTAGAGAAAGGAGAGGCGGGTGGTGGGAAATCCGTTTTTAAAAAACGAAAACGAGAAAATGAAAACATCTTTTTTACGTTTTCAGAATTTCACAAAACGACAAAAACGGTTTTGTTTTTGTTTTTCAGAAAAACTTTCACCAAACGCGTTTTCAATTTTTTACTTCGAAAAACGTGAAAAATGAGATTGAAAATGATAACAAACAGGCCCTATATTACTCCAATATCGGGATCAACTCTATTTTACCCTCGAAACTCTTCTTAATACTAATCTAAAGACATATTTAACATGTCGTATTGTATTTTATCGTATTTTATCCTCTTTATACAATATATTATTTAGTTTTGTTCCATATAAACTCGTAAATGTGTCTCAATGCCTTCGCATAATGTACAATTCAAGAGTGCATTTATTAAACTATAAAAGAATCTAATAGAATAGGTAATGGGATCGACTAAAATAAAATAAAATAATAAGAATGAATGTCATTGATTTTCCGTTCATAGGAAACAATCCAATTTTCGCAAAACTTGACAATGGTAATATTGTCAATTAATTACAAAAATTTACTTTTATACTCATCGACTAACATGTGAACATAATGAATCTGTAGAAGCAAAATTTGACAATCATTCCTCTTGACAAGAATCAATACTAACTGATTAACAAACAACTAATTAGATGTGAAATGGAATCATTTTTCACATTTCCTTTTCCTTTAATTGTGAAGTAAACGCGTCTTAAATGTATTGTTCACGGCACAGGATCATAGATTGTTAACATATTGACGCCATAAATTATTTCATTTTACGATATTACATGTATAAACTGCCATATATGATTTTTTATGCATGCATACGTATAAACTATTGTTTCTGATCAAAAAGCACATCATCAAGTGGTTAAGGTATAACATATGTGGAACATCAAAAAGAGAAATTCAAGCGAGTTCAGGTAAACATAAATTAAAATCTTCTCACAAAGAGGTTGTCTAAGGTACAATGAAGTCAAAAGAATATTTAAAATGGAAGCATCGGTCAGCAATCATGATGCTTCCCCCAGAAAGTATGAAAAAGCATACGTCACAATAGTAAAATGCATCCCCATAGTTCACAAATATCCGGGTCTCTTCTTTGTTTAATGGTAAATAGAGCTAACAACTACCAATCCAGAAGAAGGGGTTTGGGTGTCAAGAGCCTTTCCTGTCTGATACTACATTTCAATTTCTGGATTTTATATAAATGCTGTCGTTTGGAGCCAAAAGGTGCAAACCTGTTTGGATTCAACTTTGTATTACCTGAAACTTCGAAGATTCTTCAGATTTTGGTGCACGTTCCAGAGGAACAAAAACAGCAGCTGGTCACTGTAGAGATTCCATCTGGGGAATCAAGAGAGTTCAATCTTTGTCCTCGGGACTTCGTCGTCGGGAAAGAGTTCGACCGCGTAAAAGAACCTGAAACAGAGGCAACGTTGAGAGCTTAGTTATAAGTATAACTAGTGTAGTACTGATCTGCTGAAACCAAATTCTAAAGGCACCCAACGTTCTTTTTATTCAAGTCATCTTTAACTAAAAATCTGAAAATGTGTACTATGACCAAACAATCAAAAACACAACTTCTCCAAACAAATACATAAAATTAATAGTCCCTAAAAAAATCAATATCTAGCTCAAGGTAATATGGGTTGCTCATTCTGAGAGGAACTAATTCATGCCAACTCGACAGTTCGTCATTTCCTAGCAAAAATGACACCAATATGTTTCATCAAAAAATGCAGTTATATTTTCATGCGGTGAAGTCACAAATTCTCTCTTGGCTCTTTGAAAAAAACAACACCACAAAAAGTTAGTAATTGCGTTGAAGTTTCTCTCCATGTTTAGCAATAACATTCTTGACCGATCACAAGCTTTTGAATCGTGAAACTACCTAAACAGGTCATGGTTATACCAACAAAGTATTGACTTGGCCTTTTTTTTTTTTAATATAGAAAGCTATTTTCTATTGCATTTCCAAAGCTCCCACCAGCGCCAGCGTACTTTTCAAGTGCAAATAACGTTGATAAAGAATAAGATATGAATAGTCCAGAATTCACAATGTGAGTTCATCTACTAAGATTATTCAAATTTATTTTATTATTTGGTCATGTTTATCTTAGGATTAATTTTAAAAATTCCCCCTGAACTATGCCCCTTGTAACACTTTGCTCCCTGAATTTTAAAAGGTAACATTCGTTCCTCCCAAACTTTGTTCCATTAACAAGTTTTATCCTTATGTTACAATGAGTGACGGAATTGCCACGTGTCACTTATTTAGTGAGAATTGAAAGTGCAATTATGCTTACACCCTCCTAATCAGATAATTCTCCATTTTTATTGAAAAAATTCACCGTCTTCATTCTCATTTTGTGTTAGGATCCTAGCTCAGAAAATCAGCCAAACACCAATACCACACTCACACACACCAGAAACAGCAAGAAAATGAGAATATTTGGAGGGAATTTTATTAATCTAATCAGCCAAGAACACCAAATTACACTTAAATGTAAATGATAGAACGAAGAATTTGAGTACTATAGGAACTCCTAATTTAGTGGTATTCGAGAGACCACCCGTCTCCCTAATCTCAGTTTCTCAAAACTCTCCAAATCACAACATACCTCTAGTAAGCTATTAAGCCCTTTATTTATACTAATTCCTACTAACTATACCAGCCCACTAACCAAACAAGTTCCTAAGTCATTAACGGATCCTAACATTACCCCCGCCCTAAAGAAACACCTTGTTCTCAAGGTGTTAAGTAATCACAGCCGTGTGTCTCCACTTCCTTCCGATTCCTATCACACTAATTCCATTCACCCCCCTTATGCCACCCCGCTCTTTGTAGATCCGACCCCAATCGGATCAAAATAAGAAGACCCAGTCCAAATGTCACTGGAATTGTCCTTAATCGCGTTGGAAGTGTGCAGCCCAACCTTAACGGCATCGGAACCAACCCAAATCACGCCGGATTTGAGAAACCCAGCCCTTGGCTCGCCAAAATATGCCCTAATCACACCATAATCACGAAGCCCACCCCCAATTGCACGGAAATCAGCCCTAATTGCGCGGAAATCAGCCCCAATCACGCTAGAATTCCAAGACCCAATTCTAATTGCTCCAAAATCATCCCTCATGACACTTGGATTCTAAGTCCCAGCCCTCCCATCAAGAGACCAGCCCCCAAATCGCCAGAATTGATCTTAATCGCGTCGGAATTGTAAATCCCAGCCTTCATGGCGTCAGAACTAGCCCTAAGTACACTGGAATCAACCCCTTTCACGCCGTAATCGTGAGGCCCTATCCAAACAGCAGCCAACTCGACACACCCAGCCTCCGTCGTGCCGGGATCTATCTCCGTAGCACCGGAATCAGCCCCTTTCACGCGGAATCGCGAGGCCCGGTCCAAATCGGTCCGAAATCAGCCCCAACCGTGACCGAAACAGGGATGGGTTCCCTGTTCCGAGGGTACCCATGCCGTCCTAGCCCTGGAGCAAGCCTCTCCTCCTCTAACTCCGGCTCCCATTCTGTTAGACCTCCGGTACGAAAGGTTTACGTGAGGAGGGCCAAGAGAGGAATTGAGATGGGCCCAGGCCCAATTAAGATGGATCGGGGAGGGAGCGTGGCAAGCACGAAGGGCCCATCTGGGGAGATGCGCGAAATTGGTTAAGAGGACCGGTGAATATATGGGGAGCATCGAGGAAGGGTGTGGGGAAGTCGAATTTGGTGCTGGAATTGTCCACTGGGAGGTTGGGGATTCCTCAAAAATCCCTTCTTATCTTTCTTTTCCTGTATTCCTTGTATTTCTCTTCATTTCCATTATCTTCAGAGCTCCGCTGAAGCTCTTGATGTTATTACAGTAATTGGAATTCAATAAAGATGGCAATTGCTAATTTCCAGTCACTCTAGTTAGTTCATTCTTTTGCATTGAGGACTAGAATCCTAACATTTGGTATCAGAGCCAGCGATCCATGGCTCACGGTGCGCCGGCGACGAACACCACGGAGCGCATCTCTGGGTTGGAAGGTGATCTTGAGGCGATCAGAGATACAGTACGTTTGATGAGAGCGATGGTGGATCACATACCTCAGCTACATGAGGACGTGGAGGCCTTGGGAATCCAGATCGGGGACGTACAGGGTTCCCTTCTCCGACTGGAAACTATGTTGGGTCGCCATCTCGAGGCCCAGCCGCCGATTCCCCAGCGGCGGGAACAAGTGTGTGACCGGGAACGGCGGATGCAGAACGAGTCGCAAGAACGGGGCCGCGGCCGAACGGATCATCGGGGAAGATGACTTGAGGTGCCGATATTCCAGGGGGACGACCCATATGGTTGGGTGTTCCGCGCAGAACGCTACTTCACCATTAACGGAGTCGAGGAGGGGGAGAAGGTAATGGTTGCTTCGATTTGCATGGAGGGAAGGGCCCTCGGCTGGTTCCAGTGGCTGGACTCCCAATAGTCGTTTGCCGGTTGGTGCGACTTGAAGACAGCTATCCTCCACCGCTTCAGCCGCACGAAGGACGGCGACCCGACAGAAAGGCTGATGGCGCTGCGGCAGGCAGCTCGGTGGCCGAATACCGCGATCGCTTTGAGCCTTTGGCAACGTCGATGAGAGGTATTCCTGAACCGATTTTCTGTGGAGCTTTTCTTAATGGGTTACGGGAAGATGTGAGGGCTGAAGTAAAATTGCACCGGCCCATTAACCTCCAAGAGGTAATGGACTTGGCCCAACAAATTGAAGATAGGAATGAGGCCATAGAAAGACTTAGGAAAGGGAAAATGGGCCGGGGGTGGAGATATGAGGAATTTGGGAAGGGTATGGGCTTGTGTGAGAAGCCCAACCCCGTTCTATGATCTACTGGGAACTCCCTTCAGTCCAACCTAGGAAAGGAGTCGGCTCCCACCCACCGACCCCGAGTGTGGCATTCGCAACAGACAGGGACTTTAGAAGGGGGTGGGGCTAGTTTCAAGAGGCTTACCGATGATGAGGTCCAGCGCCGACGGACCAAGGGGCTGTGTTATAGGTGCGACGAGAAGTTTAGTCCAGGGCACCGATGTAAGAATCGGCAGTTGCAGGTGCTACTGGTGTCAGAAGAGGAAGGGGAGGAGGATGAAGATTCGGCCAAGGCGGTGGAGCCACCCACAGAAGAGGTCGAAGGGATGGCGGGCATCTCGCTCAATTCACTGATAGGAGTTTCGTCTGCCAACACCCTGAAGCTGAAAGGGACCATCGGAAGCCGCGAGGTGATGGTTTTGGTGGACAGTGGGGCTTCCCACAATTTCCTGTCTCTACGGGTTGTGAGGGAGCTGCAAATTCCCCTAGCGACTACAAGCACCTATGGAATTCAGGTAGGTAACGGCACCTGTTTTAAATGACAGGGAGTGTGTAAGGGGGGTAGAGCTCAGAATCCAAGGGTACTCAGTTTTGGGGGATTTCGTTCCTTTTGAACTGGGGTGTGCTGAGGTGGTTCTGGGGGTGGCATGGCTACAAACGCTGGGGGAGGTCAGGGCTGACTGGCAAAAGTTTACCCTGAAATTCAAGTCCGAGGCGGGGTGGATTTGTTTAACGGGGGACCCGACGCTGAAGTTGGAGCCTGTGAGTTTAAGGACTTTAACCCGGACATTCCACGGGGATATAGCAGGAGCGTTGTTAGAAATATATGCTATTGAAGGGGGGGTGGTTGACGAGTCCCGAGCCAAGGAACCAGAGGCTCTTCAAGGGGTCTTGGCTCAATTCGCTACTGTGTTTGAGACACCGAGTGGTTTACCGCCAAACCGGGCACGGGATCACCAGATCGTTCTCAAACCAGGGGCGGAACAGCCCAACATTCGGCCGTACAGGTACCCCCAAGTGCAGAAGAGTGAGATAGAAAAGCTCGTGGCTGAAATGTTGGCTTCTGGGGTTATTAGGCCGAGCAGTAGCCCCTTCTCCAGCCCCGTTCTGTTAGTCAAGAAAAAGGACGGAAGCTGGCGTTTCTGCGTGGACTACCGAGCCCTTAACCAGCTCACGGTCCCGGACAAATTTCCCATTCCTGTCATCGACGAACTTTTGGACGAATTACATGGGGCGGCAGTGTTTTCGAAATTGGACCTAAGGGCATATATCATCAAATCCGAGTCAGGGAATTTGATGTGGAAAAGACTGCATTCCGTACACATGAGGGGCACTACGGATTCTTGATCATGTTGTTCGGCTTGACAAACGCCCCAGCCACGTTTCAGGCGCTCATGAATAAGGTTTTCCAGCCTTACCTGCGCCGTTTTGTATTGGTATTCTTTGATGACATCTTAGTTTACAGCCGCACTTGGGAGGAGCACCAGGAGCATCTCGCTGCAGTCCTGCAAGTCTTAAGGGATGAGCAGTTATTCGCAAATAGGAAGAAGTGTGCATTCGGGCAACAACAGCTGGAGTACCTGG